GTGGAATGTCATCATGAAAATGGAGAGTCTCTTCTCCAACAAGATGAATGTGGGACAAGGAAAAACTACGAAACGGGTTTAATTATAATCGCTATGTGATGGATATAGCACATATAATTAGCCCAATTTGTGATGTGAAATTATAATACATTTGACTTCCCTACATGAAGCAACCTTTTTATATTATTCTTAGTATTCAAGAGGACCTTGAACCGATTACACTAAATGGTGAATTAAATATTAAATCAAATTTTATTTGTGACAATATGGCACATATCAGAAATCCAATAGAAGAAGTTATTTTAATGCCGAAAAACCCTCTAATAGATCACCTCAACTTCGAGATTTATTGATAAAAATAAAAAAATATTTTAAATAATAAAAATAAGGGGTTGTATGGAATAAGATCATTTATGTTTGGTACATGGAGGTCACAATTATTTATAACCATTCTATGTGAAATATAATAGCTTGGGTGTGTCATAAAGTTCGAGAATTTTTTTTTTGAACTTTGAGCTTGGTCAATGGAATAAATGTAGCCACCCAATTTTACATCCAATGGTAAAAATTAATTATGACCACCTTATACCAAAAACAAATGGTATCATTAGATAATTTATCCAGAAGTAATGCATTTAATATGGATGGTCCATTTTTAAAACCCTTAATTTTTAAAACACTTCATGTGTGCTGAACCGCATTTCTAAAATGCGGTCTATAAAGTGTAAAGCATCCGTCTTAAAGATGGATTCAAATAGGTGTTCCATCTAAAAACAATGAAAATTAAGGGTCCAAATGTTTTCTTACTAGAATTATTATTTCTAGTTTTTAAAATTCATTTATTTTCTCATATTCATAATCTCCATGTTAGAGATCCATCTCAAAAATACTTTTATTAAGAGGCCCGCATTTCTACATATGCGGACTTGGCTGCATAGAAATTAGGTCCTTTTTAATATTTTCAAATGTTTATTAGTCTATATGATCTGCACCATTTTTGAAGATTTAAATTTTATAATTAGGGCTGGGAATAGATTTTACAGGCCGTCATAAATAATTTTCAGTATAAAAAACTGCATCTTCTAGCAGAGTATGTTGTGTCTTGCAATGATTGTTGAAAACTAAAGCCTTATGTCCCTATCAAAATAAGTAAAGCGTCACTTTATAACTCATAAACAATTGCAATTCAAGCATTAGAAAACCTCATCTTGACTTGAACATTATGGTTCTGAAAAAAAAAATAGGATTTCAAAGTCTAAAAATATGGTTATTGTAACAAATTATCTAGACCGTCCATTTTGCTTTAAAAAATAAGTGTTCATAGATCTACAAGATCTGTACCATGTTTTGAATTTTGAATTTCATTGTTAGTGTTGGAAATTGATTTTAGAGTTATCATAGAGATTTCCATTCCTGAAAGTGCTTTTTGGACGAAGATTTTAAGTGAGGCTTTATTTTGTTTTCATAATAGGCCTTATAGAAACCTCATCCATTACATAAACCACAGTCATAGTTAAATCATAGTAGAAATTTGTTATTGCAGGCACTGAGCAAGGGAACCATGAGCAACAAACTGCCCACCATTTCCCATTGGTAGTATTGAGTATGGGCCATGGGACCATTCCCATTACTAAACAAACAAAGTAATATATATTCCACCACTAATAAATATGTAACTACAATAACAGTGTAATAGTAGATTTTCTTCCAATTTTACTCGTAATACTGAATTCAATCATAAAGTTGAACTTAAAAACAATAACCAGTAATTAGAAATTTGCCATTGATACAAGAGGTTGTAGAACGATAATTGTCATTAGAACAAATTAAAAAAAAGAAGAAGTTGTTATCATGGTAAACTGTCGATAGAGAGAGACGGCAGGAAGTTCTTCTGTAGGTGATTGCATGGAAATATGGCAGCGAGATATAGAGCAAGAGAGTGAAAATGAAGGATGTGGATCAAGGTTGCGATCCAAAATATCAAGATCATTTATTGTAATTTATACACCTAATTATATAATTTAAAATATGAAAATAATGTCGATCAAGCAGATCTATAAGCACCTGAAAATCTTGAAAATAGAAGGTTCAGATAACATGTTAGAAGAGAACTATTTTTAGGATTTAAAATCTTTTTTTTCATATTCATATGTCCCGATGTCGAGACAATCAATTAGAGGGTTTTCTAGTGTCGAAACATCATTTTCCAATAGATTTTTTTTAGGTGTACCTTACTTCTACAATATGAGGTTGGTAGCTTATATATACATTATTGAGGTGTACATTATTTCACTCATGACTCATCACCACTTAAAGTCTATTAGAATGGCATAACTATCTAATAGTATATGACTTTTAATATTTTTCTACAAATCTAATTTATCTGAAATTTGGTATATGTACATCTATAATCATCATCATCATTAGAACTTTTTCCCAATTATTTATGGTCGGCTATACGAATCCTCGTCCGGTATTATCCTCTATCAAGGGTTGTCCCCTCAATGAGCTCCAATGCAATACATTTACGGGGGACACCTCAGCATAAGCATAAATATAGATTCATTATTCAAGAAAAGTTTGGATAAAGTTTCATGTTGGCTATCTATCTAACACAACTCACCGCCTTTACTTGGGTTTGGAACATGCTAAGGAAAAGTTTAAGGTCCTCATCCTTCTTAGGCCAACATGTGTACATTTATCTCGCACAAAAATAAAATATAAAAAATAATTATCAAAAAATAAAATGATAAAAGTATCCCTAAAATATTAATAGGGGTAATTTTGTCATTTTTATTAATTTAATTATTTTTTATTTTTTATTTGGGTACATCTCAATAAGGCACATATAATTACAAAATTATATGTCAATCCAATTCATAAAAATAAAAAAAAAAATCGTTAAAATTAAAAAATTATAAGACATTAGAGTCTGATAGATTTTATATGGTAATGAGCCATGAGTGAAGTATTACATAAATTCACTTTAAGTGTTTTTAATAATTTTGGTATATATGCAGTTCTATAAGAGTTTTATGTGATTGCCACATATCAATGGAGCTGAAGAAGAGGTTCTATAGGACAAATGTGAAACTAGCATTGCTTTTACAGGCCATAATGTTGGGCGGTAAAAAAATAACACATGCATAAGATGGGTGTAGCTGAAATGAGGATGTTGAGAATGATGAGTTGCAAGACAATAAAGGATAGAATTCGAAATAAAGATATTTGAGAGAACTTAAGTGTGGCTTCAATATGTGATAAGATTTGAGAAAAAGTAAACTTAAGTGTGGCTCCAATATACAACACAGACCCAGTAGATCATTTGTTTGGAGGTGCTAGTTGGTTCGAGTAGAAAGCTCAAAAAAAACAAGGGGTAAGCCTAAAAGAATACGATAAAAAGTAATAAGAAAAGGTATATGAACTTATGACTTCACTGAAGATATAACCTTTGATAAAGCAAAATGACAAAGTATGATTCGTATAGCCGATCTCAAATAATTGAGAAAAAATTGTGATGATGATGAGATCATGATGATGACACACAAAAACCATAGATCAAAAATATATTTGCACCCAAATTAGATGTCATGCGATAGAAGCAAAAGATGTTTCATGTACAAATATTTTAACCACCCATCATTCTCGAGAAGCACTCAATAAAGTTGTGTTGTCCATCAAGCATGATGGACGGTTATGATGCACCTTCATACGCCTTCAAAGAGTACCCCTCCAATATTTATTGCCAAAAGAAGAGCACTCCCCCAATAATTTCTTATATAGGGAAAACTTTTCCAATATTTCCCAAACAGTACGATACAAAAAGGACAAAAAGCTCGAAGTGCTTGGAATAGCTAGTCATATCCAATACACCAACTTTATCAAAGCAAGCACAAAGCAATAACAATATCTTTTTACCATTCAAAATTCCTAAAAAAACAAAATATATCGTAGATAAAGACGTGAGGCCATATGCTAAACTTTGAGAATGTACAAAAGTAAAAGACAACCATTCAAGAAAAAAGATAATCAAATATAGAGATTACATACTATCTACCATATACCACTCTTAAAAAAACCTGTATCGATCCGGTTGAGAAAATTGGCCAATAAAATAATAATAATAATAAATAAATAATGTGGAGGTTAACTCAACCAGCTGAGTCCTCATAGAACCCGTCGATTCTCTGTTTCGGCTTGGAATCGGCCAGATACTTTTGGTTCCTGATCCCAGAAGGGCGATTCGGATCCGTATTGTTGGTTTTCAAATGAATGTTGTGGACCATTTATTTTAGTATAAGATCATAGTGGCCCTTAGTCGTCTTAGGTGGGAGTGTGTCATTTTTTCCATAGTCCGAGATCATATAGCAACTCCTTAGATGCCTGATTCACATCATCTGCTCAGGGCAACTTTGGCCATTTTCTATCTAAGATAAAATATCCTTATAGCATTTTTCATTTTTAGGGGGTTCAACTATAGGAACCGAATTTGAGATATAGCATTTAAAATGTCACTTGAATATACAAGTGCGAGTTTCAAGCCCCAGATCAATGTGGCGGATTGTTCACCCAAAAATCCATGTTAGATTGCTATATCAATGATCAAGATTGAGTCTGAATCAGTCAAAATTAGTAATCCAAAAAAATAAATAAAAATTAAAATAGATGGTTATGAGGTAAGGGATTCAAATTGTTTAAAAAGAACCTAAAAAGACATTAAATAAGAAAATTGACGAGTTTTAGAACATTGCATGAGCCTGAGCCCGAGCCCGAGCCCGAGCCACACCCCTAATTAGAGAGGCAGTGATTGACAATTACGTCAAAAGTACTAAAAGTTTGGGGTGTTTGAGATCTTGGGAGCCTTGGAAACCAAACAAAATCTAAAAAGAAAGGGTGCTTTCGTAATACGATTAACGTCATGGGGGCATTTCTCTAAAAGGGACCCACAAATTTTTGTAACTTGGTTAGTTGGAGATTTAACATATGATTTCGTGCTGCCATTTCATGAATTATTAGAAGGGGGAAGAGAGCAAAGATCTCAACTCAACTCTCATGCCAATTTCCTCTTCTGTTGGGAGAGCTTCCAACCATGGGAGATGAAGAAAACCATAATTTTAAAGACATATTTCGGAGACTCAGAAAACCCTAGAGTTGAGCTTTTGAGTTTCAACGCTCTCATGGAGTTCTTTCTTGGGAAATTCCCTCTGTTTTCCCCAGTTAATTGAAGGGATTTTACAGGGGAATGAACGTCTTTTTGCCTGGTTTGAAGCTTCTGATTTCTGAGACCCTTTCAATGGAGAAGAGTTGCAAAGAAACCAGAAATATCTTCAACTCAAGTAAGCCACTAGCTTTCTCTGCTTTATTGCTTTCGATTCCGAAGAATTCGTACGCGAATTATCATTTCTTCTTGCAATTTTAGGATTTCCGAAAAGCTTTGTGTATGAGACTTTTATTTGACTCTGAAAGGGTTATTTGAATAAAGAAAATAAATCCTCAGTTACGACTGAAATTATGCAAAATTTGATTTAAATACCTGCATTCTGTAGCTAGAAATTTAGAATAATTTCGCTATTTGTATTTCTATTTCTATTCTGTATGAAAACTTTTTTTTTTCTTTTTTTCCTCGTTCAGAAGACAGGAAATACTGAAATAGCTTTGCACATAAATGTCGTTCTTGATTTCAGGATAATCCTTCAGTTTGTAAGCAGTGTTAACTTCACCGGCAGGTTGAATCACGGTAAGTAACTTAGTTTTCTTTTTTGCGATTTCGGGATCGATAGTTGAATTTGTTATTTATTTCGCATTTTTTCAGAGTAAAATGCTGAAATTGAAGCAGATTAACTGGATGGGAAAACCATAGAAAAACCAACCATTTGATCTTGTTCTATGCTTTACATTCTGTTTTTCACTGGTTTGAAAGAACTAGATGGGATATCTGCCGTCGATTTCCCAATGACAAACGATGCGGATTTATTAAAGTTCCAGACAGTATGTTTGGTATTTACCAAACAAAAAACAGTATGCTTTGGTATTTACCCAAAGAAAAAAAAAACAAATTATGCTTTGGTTAATCTCAATGTAGTATTCGCCGTACACGTTGGTATACGGTGTACGATGGTATACTACATGACAAGGTTTAGAAACTTTTCTTGCCAAGTGGCCAAGTCGAGTGACCAAAAGCCCCAGAAAAAATGAAACAAAAAAGAAAATAAAAAAGGTGAAAAATAAAATAAAGGTAAGAAAAATAATGTAAAACTCTGTCGCACAAAAAGATTATTATAAAACTAAAAACAACCTTAAAAAGTCAAAATAATCAAAAGAAATGGATTTAAGAAAAATTTATTTATAATTGGGTATGTCTTAAAAAATAAAAAAATAAGCAATATGACAAAACCACTCATCAATTTTTTCTAAAAACATCTAAATCATATACAAAAAATAATTGCATAATATTCTTATATTTTTATAATTTTTACTTTTTTTTATGTATTTTGAGTTGTACACACAAATGGGGTAACTCGGTAACAGTGCTGCCCAATATAAGTGTAGTAGTGTACTGTAATTATCATGATCATACAACATCCATAGTCACGAGGGTCATCCCCTATCCTGAGAGAACAAGGCCTACTCTCAAAACTGGGAAGTGTTAAGAGGACCATTCTCGGTCCATCACCGTCCAACCCATCGTATGGTTGGTGATGACCCCTTGGGTATGGAATCGTCATGAGGATTATAATATGTTTCCTCGTTTTTTGAAGATCTACTAAAAGAAAAATTTTGCAAATAGGTTATTTACTTTTGGTACATAGAGGTTACACTTAGTGTCTGAAACTACTATTCAGGGCGTGTACTTGGCTCGAGTAGTGGAGAGTATTGTAGCAGCCAAAAAAACGTTACAAAAATATGAAACTACAAAAAAAAATCCAAAAAATAGAAAATGTTTGTTTAAAGTAAGATTGAGTAAAACAAATCAAAATGAGATTAAAAAAGCTGTAAAAAAAATAAATTTTAAAAATCAACTTGTATATTGGAGATATTTTTTAAATAACCCAAAAAGATAGAAAACATGTAAAAATAAGTATTTGTGGCCAAAACACTTTCTAATGTTTGCCAATATATAAAACACATCACAAATAAATTTCTTATTTTTTGATTCTTTTATGTTTTTTTTTTATAATTTTTTTAATGGGTGCAGTTGGCATACGGATGCATCCGTAGTTGTAGAGGTAAGGTCCAGCTTCAAATTTTGTCATGGTGTATAATTTTGATGTAAAATGTCCTTAGGATTGTCTCAAAATCTATATTTATATATAATTATAAAATTTTAAATTTCAAAAATAGTTAAAATCAAGTAGATCCATACACATATGAAAATCTTAAAAATAGACGGTATAGATAATATATTGTAAAATGCACTATTTTTGAGACTTAAAATCTTTTTATTTTTTATGGTCATACATCTCGATGTCATGTCGAGATGATCAATCAAAGGGTTTTCAACATTAAAATTACCTTTTCCATTGGATTTTTGAGGTGCATCCGTAGTAATACGTTATAAGGTTGCATCTTTATATAAACTTTTTCCTTTTTTTTAATACCCTGAAGTGGGACACCCAACTGGAGCAAACCTCCTTACAAGCCCGAGTATTTGAGGACTGGGACCGTCAAATGTTAGTTACAATCACTCTATTCCAATTCAGTTGATTGCAGTGGTTCCACTAACTAAGATGCAAAGCTCCAAACAAAAAAAAATTGAAAATAAAAAGTATAACATATTTTCTCATTGCACGCCGGTTCCCCTTGGAAGGTTTTAGACTTTTTTTTTTGGTAAAATGTCGTTTGGAAAGTAAGCAAAGTGTTGGTGACCACGTAGGCTCCACGTGCAATTTGAACCTTTTAACTCTAGTGGATGGTGACGAGTGTATGATACACTAAGTTTCGACAATCCTCTACAATTACCACCGAAACCCACACCAAAACGAAGTATACCCACTATACACAACCTACTTTAGAAACACTGCATGGATTATGCTTAACCCTTTTTTATGGAATGTACTGCTTTTTAAACCCAGTAGGAGAGAGAAGTTGCAACCGATAATGCATTCTTTTTTTTTTTGGATATTGACAATTTAAAAGCAGGAGCTCTTGCTTTCAAAAACTAAAGGGACGATCCCTTCCTTCTTCTTTTTATTGAATAATTAAAGGGCAAATTTCTCTTTCAGAACTAATAGCTAGAGGGATTTCTTTTTTTTCTTTTTTTTTTGTACGATCTGACATGATACACGACTAAATAGTAGCTTTGTATATTTTTTTACACCTACTTATGGTTGAGGTTAGCCTGCTAGTTGATGCTAGTTGCTAACAGTTATAGTAAATATTTAATGATTTATGTTGAATCTGAGTCGATCTAATGATCATGATTGTATTTTGTATTGAAATTTTAATTTTGCCTTACAAAGTTAAATCACTTAAAATTTAGAGCATCTATTTTTAAAAAATACGATAATCTAATAAATATTAAAAAGATCAAAAAAATTAAATAGACTAAACTACCTCCGAAATTTTTAAAAATCTTAAATTTTAAAAATTTTTACAAACTTACCTATAGTTTATGTTTAAAAGATGCTAATTGTAGAAATGGAAATAATTAAGGATAAGATCATTCAAATTTGAGATAGATGCGTGATGCGCACTTACAAAACACGGCCAATAAAAAATTATTAAATGTGATTATATCTTCTAGATCACACACGTGAAACTTTCAAACTTCATCAAACAATAAAAATGAGAAAAAAGAGAAAATTTTTATACTATATATGCATTACTTCTAGTGGTCAGTACTTCATCTCAAACACAAATTGACCCAATTGTTTTGAAAGATAAGCACTATTCCTCTCTATGTAGTTAAATTATTTTGGCTTTCTATTCATGATTACTAGGGATGCTTCAAGATATATTGATTTCTATTTTATTTTATTTTATTCTAAAAATTTAGAATGAGTTGGAAAGAGGTAGCTAATTTTAAAGAGGTCTTAAATGACACTCTTCTAAGTCTTTTCTTTTTTCTTTTCTTTTTTTCATAATTTTCAATTGTGTATTGGTGTAAAGTGTACACAGTGCCAATTTCATTTACATGCATATGGCGAAATCTCACTGGCCTTACTTCGATCCCGAGTATGAGAACCTTAGCCAAAGAATCAACCCTCCAAGGTGTCTCTTTATCTCTTTTATTGTGTGAAACAAATATTTTGGTCAATTTATTTTTTTCGGTTAATATTTTGAAATGATATGCAGGGTGTCATTTGATAACACTACATGCAGCGACTGTACTCTGGTGAAGGTAAGTTTCTTTCAACCGCACTGCTATGAATTGTCTTTTTGTTAGCTCATTGTGCTGTGTGGGGTGGTCCCTCCCCTTAACCTCAATCAAAATATTCACAACACAACAAACATATTATTAGGAACCTTTTGTCATTTTTCATATTACCCACTTGGGTTTCACATGTTCCCTTGTTTTATTAATACCGAGGGACTGGCCCATACGAGAACCTGAATTACGTGTGAGAAAGAGAGAGACAGGAAGAGGGAGATTGATTTGTCTCCTTATATTAACTAAATAATAGTAATTTAAAATAAAAATAATATAATAATAATAATAATTGTAGTGACAATAATAAAAGAGTGAAGTGTGTACAAGGCATCAACGCAGGGGGCCCGAGCTAGCCCCCTTAGCCCTGCCCTATTCCCTTTAGGGCTGGCTCGGGCCAAGGAGACACAAGCCCAAGCCCAAGCCCAAGCCCAAGCCTGGCCCGAGCTAAAAACAAAATAAAAGAAAACAAAGCAAAAAAATGATAAAGAAATAAGGGTGGGGCTGGTCTGAACCAGGCTGGCCGTGTTTTGATCCTTGCCCAAGCTCACCTGGCTGGCCCTTGGGCCACCCGCACCCCTCAAAACTATGCCCAAATATGTTGTTTTAGTAAAGGAAAGCTTTGTGATTGCATAAAAATCTATTGTCAACCCTAATTTTTAAATATCAAGCTTCGAAAATGGTGCAAATCAAGCAGATCTATAAATAATTGAAATTTTTTTTAAGTAGATGTTCTTAATAATACATTACAAAATTAACTATTTTCATGACTTAATCCGTTTTTCATGTACATACATCTCAAAGTCGAGGTAATCAATTTTCTGATGATTTTTCTATCATCAGAAAGATTTTTCTGATGAGTTTTTTATGTGTATCTTACTTCAATAGTATAAGGTAGACACCTTACATAAACTATATCCATAATAAAAATAGTAGTCTAAGAGATTATGTGCTCCTCATTTACTTCCTTGGTGAAAAGCCAATACAAGATTATTTTTAGAACCTCAATTTTCGAGGACATAATTTTTCGACCTAGCAAAGCCCTGAAGAAAAAAAAAGGGAAAAAAAAAGGAAAAAAGAAAGAAAAAAGCTACATCCTCTATATGCATGAAATAGTGATTTTTTTATTTTTCAATGGTCAAACAAGTATTTAAGAACTGAAATTCAAACTAATATTTTGAAAACCCTCATCTGTTAATTCTGAGGTGGACTCCAAATTTTAGATAGAAAACATCTAATTAAGAAGCTCTTTCACGAGAGGGAGTAAATGGATAATGTGCTCCCATTAAAGCAGGCTAGGCACTAACAATGTAGGACATTGAAGTATGGAGACAATGGTTGCTCTCAATTAAGGAAAGGTGTACGATTAGATCATTTGTTTTATGTATTTGTACAAGAAGTAAATAATTATCTTTAGCTGTCAGTAAACAATCATATTTAACTGTAAGCTGAAATTGAAAAGCTAAAGCTATATTTTGATTAACATCAAAGATTCAAACAAAACATATTTTTAAACTTTATGGCTTAATCTCAGCCGCCTGATTGTCAATCTAACGAACACTAAAAGCACTTGTGACCTTTTTGAAAGCATATAAGCCTTTCAATTAAAGCGATATGACTCTAGAAATCACTTCAACCAAAATTCAAAGGGATAATGATTAGTGAGAGAGAGAGATATGACTATAGAAATCACTTCAATCAAAATTCAAAGGTCTAATGATTAGTGAGAGAGACAAATTGTAGTTCCTTTTGTATTAGAAAAGTAATAATGGGAAGGAAAGGGAAAGATGAAATTGAACTGGTTCTAGATAAAATGGAATGATTTACATTGTTGTTTGATGTGTTGTATTGTCATTTAGAACTGATGAGAGTGTGAGAATGTAGGGGTGGCAATGGGCCAGTGGCCTGGCCCGGCCCTAAAAAATTAGGGCTTGGGCTACCAAATGTGGCCCTCCAACTAGGTCGATGGCAGGGCCTTGGGCCGGCTCAACCTGACCCCTTTTTTCTTTATGTTGTTTTTAATTTTTAATTTTTTTTTTAATTTTACTTGATCCAGCCCTTCACATCCCATCCCTGATAGGGCTAGGGCCTCTTTGGCCCATTATGGGCCGGGATAGACCTGTGCTTGCCCTATGGGAACTTGAGTCCGGCTAGGATGAGGTCCAGACTGCTCATTTTCTGAGTGAGAGTGTGATATGTGCAACGAAATTATTTAAGGAAAATTGTTTCGTGCAGTCGGGACCACATTTCTACATTTGCAATTCTTGAGGTATAAAGCATCCATCTTAAAGATCGATGCAAATAGGTGGTCCATCTAAAAACAATTGAAACTAATAATCCAAATGTTTTTTTAATAGAATTATTATTTTTAATTTTTAAAAATTATTTATTTTTTCATATTCGTGTTTTCCATGTTAAAGGTTACATATCCTTAAAAATTAAGTCAAAAAATCCAACTTAAAAATAGATTTTTAAGAGGTGGCTCATTTCTACACTGACTCATATAAACCGTATCCATAATTCAAAAGAACAAGAATAGAGAAATTAATTGTGTTTTTGCCAATTGTGGCAGGTGGATAGCGCTAACAAGCCAGGCATACTACTGGAGGTGGTGCAGGTGCTTACAGACATGGACCTTATCATCTCCAAAGCATACATTTCCTCTGATGGTGGATGGTTCATGGATGGTAATTCCTCTTCTACCCTCTCTCTCTTAACATGAATTTTTCCTTTTTCCCTTTCTTTCCCTTGAACATAAACAAATAACCATTTCCAAACACTTACCACTCTCTTTTATACAAACATAAATGGACTGATTTCTTTCCATATAATCACAGTAGTTATACATCCAAGGAAAGAAAAATAGATGGATTAAAAGTACAAAAAAGTACGAATTTGATTATCATCAACATCGCCATAGCTTTTTCTTAACTAATTAAGATCGGCACAAGTAGAAATTTAACCAATAAGCACAATTGTCATTAGGAAGTTTCATGAAACGCCTTTGCTCTTGTTTTGCTTGTTCTTTTATTTGTATCAAACAGTCAATATGTTAATGCTTCTTTGTATCTGCAATCAAGGGGCCATGAAGTAATTATTGGAACATCAATCGTCCATTAAATTGAACGGATGGTTGAGAGAAGTGTAGCTTCTCATGATGGATATTTTATGCTTAACGTCCACGATCCTTTTACGAGAGGATGCCCATGTAGTCATTTCAAGAATAAAAACATAGGGAAGAGACTAGGTTGTGGTGGTAGCACCCCCATCCAAACCTCCATTCTGAATGGAGGGCTAAGATTGCCCCAATCACAATGTCACGTCCCTACATTATTTTATTTTAAAAATTTTTTATAAATTATTTTGACACCAAATTTTGTGCGTCCAATCTTCTATTAAACTCCCACTAGTAAAAAATATAACAACAATATTTTCAATAAAATAAAATGATCAAAATACCCCTAAAATTTTCAAGGGATATTTGGTCATTACATTTTATCAAAAAATTATTTTTAATATTTTTTATAGGTGCTCCACAATGAGAAGACAGGATGTACCAAATTTCATATTCATATAATTTGTATAAAAATAAATAAATAAAATACTTTGAGACGTCGGATTTAAGATCAAATGGTGAGGGGCTCTCTTGATCAAAATTGGACGGCTGGATGATAGGGGAAGCATAGATCTTCTATGCTGTAGGGGTAGTATAGAAACATTTCCCATAAAAAAATAATAAAAGAGGACAACAACTAGATGAAGAGAACAAATAAATTTTCCAACAGTATAACAATAAAGAAGAAAAAATTTATACTACATTATTAAACTAAAGTTAAGAGCTGGACACGTGCCACGAAAATAAAATAAAAATCTTAATATTATAGAGATTGGATGACTGGATGGGGGGAAGTATATTACTTCTATACAGTAGAAATATAGAAAGCTTTCCCTATAAAAATATCATTACTATGAGGCCATCACCATTCCATCAATGTGTTGGATGCTGTCACTTTTGTAATTATCGATCCATGTTTAGTTATTATGCCCCACAAAACATGGGTGGCAATAAAATTCTAAACTTTGTTCAGCCACCTACAACATCAGATGAATTATTTAAAAAGTGAGTGGTTCCCAACAATATTAGACGAATTTACTTGCTCCCTCAAGTAAAAGAGTTACTTTAATAGGAACTGAAGTTTGGAATCTGCTTTGGAATTTGATGTATGAGTAACAAATTTGGACTATAGTTCCTCAAGATACAGATCAAACCTTCGAAGAAGTAGATGGTCTTGTCCAAGTTTAATAATAATGCGTTTTAAAAAGGGATTGTATATTATGAGATCAGTTACATTTGTTATAAAGAGGTTACAATTAGCTTTAGCCATTAGATGTTAAATTGGATGGTATGTGCGTGTTATGAAGTTTTGAAATTTTTGTTTTTGAATTTTGAGTTTATTCAATGACATACTCACAACCATCTGATTTAAAATTTGATAGGCATTAATGATTGTGACATTTTTATATTAAAAATAAATAATCTCTTTATATACTTTTCAATCAAAAAATATTGTTCACTGTAATCCTGTGACGTTTCACGATGTTAAAAGGAAAAGGAAATCAACATATGTTGCTATTGCCTTGCTTTTCAACATTTTACTTGATCCTCAAAGAAGGTCGATCACATGATACACAACACTTCTTCTGTATGTTTTATCTAAAATATAGCAATTTCTATATTTTATCTATATATATATATATAAGACTAAATAGCAATTTGTATATTTTATCTAAAAAGACTAAATGATACACCACACTTCTTTGTTTTTTGCATGGGTAGGTCAACTTTCGTGGTTTCTTAGCATTGACATTACTTATAAAATATCGATTTAGGAGATCAAATTATTATTATTATTATTATTATTATAATACGATTCTTGTCGAAGGGTTCCACCCACATTAATGAATTTTGTATTTACGCGTTAGTTTAATTCTTTAAAATATTTTTTGTTTAGCTATAGAGTTTACGTGAAACATGCATCGTACTTAAGGGAAATTATATTCAAGCGCTTGTTTATGCCTTGCACAAATAATGGGGAGATAAACGGGTCGGCAGCTTTAGAGCATAGTTATTAAGATTGAATAGAACCGGTCTCACCCGTGGGACCTCTAACTAGGTTGATTTGGTCCAAGGTTTAAAAATACGGATTGGTGACTCAAATTGTCCACACTCGTACCTGTGTCGAAGCCGTTGATCGGATTGGAAAATCGGCCGAATTGGCAAATTTTATCTTATTTTATTTTTAAAAAATCGCTATAAATATCTAAAAATAGTGTTATTTTAGTTTTTAAAAAAAATTAGGAGTGATGCATTATGTATTTATATACTTTTCTTACTTTGTCAAAATAAGTGCATATTGAGACATTATTTTTCTATTTGGATGTTTGTATAATAATAAACATGATTCATAAAATTATTAGAAAATACTTCCATATCATATAATTAAAAACAAAAAAAAAACCCATGTAATTTTAATGTTATGATATTATATATATGTATATATATATTAAAATTAAGATATCAAAATCACCACTTTGTGGCCCAAATAGCTACAAAGAGAGAGAGATAGAGAGACGGATGCTAAGGGGAGATAGAGAGTGAGGTGAAAAAAAAAAAACTAATCTGCCTGTAAATTACTACAAAGAGACAGAAAGTAATCTCTTTACAATTACAGTCTTTGCTTTGAAGGCAAGGCTCCTGTTACGACCATTTTTATCAGTTTTCAAGCTTTTGTTTGGGTTTGGTTTTTGGGAGATTTGGTTTTCGGGTGGTGGAGTTTGCAATGTAGGGGAATGCTATATAAAGAGAAAGGGGTCCGGAAGGTTATGTGAGTTTTGTTAGAGAGAGAGAGAAAGAGAGGAGTAGATAGAGGGTTGGAAAAAGAGTGTTGATTGCAATGTAAAACAGAGGTAGAGAGAGACGAGTATTGATGAGAGAGAGATCTAAATATTAAAGAGAGAGAGATGGTGTATTGGGGAAGATGAACGTTGAAGAGAGAGAGAGAGAAGGCAGTTTGGAGATTGGAGTGTACTGACGGTTGATGAGAAAAACGAAGGGATGGAAGGGCATCGAAGCTATTGATTTTTATTTATTGATGAAATATGATTGTTGTGTGCCACGAAGATTTAAGATAATTATCCCACATGGGGAAATCTAAAAGGCATGAAGCTCTATAAAAGGAAAAAGTCTCTCATGGTTGGCACACATGTTCATGGTACAAAATGCTCGGATCCTGTTTTATTAGTAGATTCGAGACGGTTTGAACGATACACGATTCAGATTGCCTGATTTCGAATCGGGTCATCGATTTTTAAACCTTGAATTGGTCTAAAGTCGGTCTGAACGATACACGATCCAGATTGCCTGATTTCGAATCGGGTTACCGATTTTTTAAACTTTGAATTGGTCTGAAGTCAAAATTAGATTTAGTCGTAAACTAGTCAAAACCAAAATTTGATCAATATCAATTTTGATAGGTCAAAACCAAAATTTGATCAATATCAATTTTGATAGGTCAAACGGGTCAGGTATTTGATCAATATCAATTTTGATAGGTCAAATGGGTCAGGTCAAAACTAAAATTTAACCAGTGGCCAACTAAATAAAATTAGACAAATTTTTTTACTACATTTATGCATTTTTAAACTATTACATCTATTTTTCTCTTTTTATCTAAACAAATTTATATACCAGCCATAGTGAGGGGGGTCAATTATAAGTCCCCCCGTTTCCGGACATTTTTTTTTTGTCTCCAAGTTGCACTCTCTCTCTCTCGTAAACTGAATACCGGACCGGTGGATTTTTTAATTTAAACGAATAACAGCGGTCCGGTAATGCAAATACGGTAGAGCTCTATAAATCCCCAAAACCAACTCCGCCATTTCTCTTCGCCCTGTAGACAACCGAGAGCAACCAAACTGGGTGCTCGGTTGATTAAAAGACATTGGTTGCTCCGCTGTTGGCAAGAGTGGTGAATGGCTGTAGCCCGGGCAAACAAATTGGGTTTCTCTCTCTAGAAAGTAGGTAATTAATCAGGCGAAAAGGTTCTCTCTTTGATGAATTTGCGCGTTTTTGCTGCTGAGAAAATTTGGGTGGTGGATTTTCACGAGAAACTCACTATTAAACAACTCGGAAAGACAACCATAGGAAAATATGTGAAACCATTTCAAAAACTCAATCAAAGTGCTCAAATCATCCATTCTACCAATAAAGCTGAGTGCTTTTTTTAAAATAATTTCAATAAGGTGGCTATTCTGTTTCGTCAGAAAATAAGGTGCTTTTTAATTCTATATTTGGAAACTTGAACAAGAGAGCATTTTGATAATTTGGCTACTAATTACTACTAGAAACACGAATTAAATATATTGTTCCAGCTTTGGAACCGTGGACAAGATGGGGCATTTATAGAGCCAAAAGTCCTGTACTTTTTCCAGGTTCCTGAAACATGTTCAGGTTTTGAAACCGGAAACATGCTAAAACATTTCGATTATTTAACTTAAAGGACTCAAACTATCCAAAAACGAGGTAGGTCAGAATTACTGGCATAAAACAATAGCAATTTGGTTACTGAGATGCCCCCAATTTCAGAATTACTAACAAGGGCAAATTGTTCACTTTTAATATTATTAT